ATATGTATATACGTATACATACATATGTATATTACATGTATACACGTATGTATATATATCATATATGAATAATATGCATATATGTATATATGTATATATATCTCTCCTTGTTAAAGAATATGATTCTCTAGCGACACGATATATTAAATATATAGATATAATCTGTTACATCATCTTTGCATTTTAGATATCTATATATATAATAACTATTATCATATACATGTTAAATTCGATAATATCTCACGTATAGCTTCTCTCCGCTACACACCGTGCTTTATTTGGTTTAACAGAGGAGTGTCGCTTCTCAGTCATCTTTGGTAGAAGCACGCACGCATGCTTTTCTTTCTGCATAACGCTATCTCGTACAAGATAACACAAAACGTTACTCAATTAACGCGTCTGTTCCCTGAGTTGATATACAACCGCATTTCAGTCTTTACCATTTTGTTACTTCATCTCTCACAGCAATTATTACACATTGATTAAGACAATCGTCTCACTAGTATAAACACAGCAATATCTAATAAAACGAAAAGAAAGTTTAAGGCCGGAAACGTTGCTTCTTTTCATAAATCCCCTGTCATGTGAAACAAAAATTTCTTCTTCTTCTCACATGATTTGTGTTTTAAAACTTGGAAAAATGTAGTACAAACGACAAAGGGGATAAAACCGAGATAATTTACAATTCATCGACAAACTAATTCCTTCACTTATATAAGTCAATAATTAGTCAACTCCCGAATTATGAGGAATTACATCGATCACGAATTAACGATAACACATTAGATCACAAAATTATAATAATCTGACTTAATTAAATCTAATTCATTTTCTCATAGCGCTCTCTGAATTCTTTATCGCAACTCATTCATTTCCCATCATTCTCAAAATTGTCACATATGTCAAATACTACGCAAATACATCCAAGTGTGTGACGAGGTTTCTTACGAAAAACGTTAAATACTGAATAGAAATTCTTTTCGATTTTATCTTATTATCTAGTCAATAAACATCATTTTTTTGTTATATAATAGTCATCTGTAAAAATTAATTTAACAGAATATTTAACGCATGCTTATATAAACAAAAAATTTTCTTTAAGTTGTATAAAAATGTGTCTCTCGTTATTCTCAATAACACTATCCGTAAAAGAGTGCTTAAGTTATATAATTTTCTTTTTTTTAACAAATCGTACTTTTTTTAAATATGTTATTTTCCTCTTTTTTTCGTTATTGAGGTACCACTGGTAATAATAGTTGCTTTTGTTATCTTCGCGTACTCACGCGTCATTTCAATTACATTAATATCTTTAATGTACTCATAGTTAAATATGAGTTTTTGAGGCACATTCACCACATATACACTCGTCTTAAGCAATCGCTAAAATTTTCTTCGTATTGGCTAGTTAATCGCTGTCGTCATCCCTATGATTATCGATCGCAGAAGTGACGTTTGGAAGAAAATTTTAACGGAAGTGTGTAATAAGTTATAATAACTTACAACGTTTGTCGTCCTCGCACTATAATCACAGACAATCCCAGTTTGACGCAACAAAACGATTCACCATCTTATTCGCATCCGCCTACTTACATTTCTCTGTCTCCCTCACTTTCCGATAGCGGTAATAAAAATAAAATTCTGTACATTGCGTAAATCCTCGCGAAGAAATGTTGATACTTTGTTGAGACCCTGACCACAGTGATATAATATCGTGTTATACACGTCCACTTCTGGTATCTATTCATTATATTAAATTCATCATCGTAAGAATGCACTTTTCAATTATATAATTATTCAGATAAAAAATGGACCAAGATTTAGAGAAGATGGGATGGCATAGTCATGTTATAGCTAGTCATATATCTATGTACGATATCCTAAAACTCTGGTGAGATAGGAATGATGCGATGTTCGCGTCCAAGATGAACGCAGAAGGCAGCGGTGTTATATACCGTGTAAAATGCATAGGAAACAAGGTGTGAATTCATTGGAGCGTTACTGGACCAAGCATGAGGCTCCTGGATGGTCACCGCGGCCATATTGGATTCTTACTATCGAGGCGAGGAGAACACCCAATTTTGTTGTGCATGCCATTTTCAAATAAAAAGACATTTCAATAAAACATCACTATAGATATGAAAACGTTCCTTAGGGCGGCGGTGTGGTCTAGTGGTAGAGCGCCAGACTCGTAATCTGAGGAACCAGGTTCGAGTCCACTAGAGCCATGAATCATGGAAAAGTTTTTTCCGAAAAAACTGCGCCCCTCCGTGCAGATGCGGAGAAAACTGGGCTCCGTCTTTCGGAAGAAGAAATAGCACGCACAACAAAATAGGTTGTCAACATGTCACAAAGAACAGAATTCTCCATTGGAGAGTTCTGATTTCTGCCGCGACGGTACGTTGCCACCGTCAACGCAGAGTTCTCGGCTGACCATCCAGGAGTCATAAGTAGGAAAACTCTACTCGACTATAATCGTGGCGAGCCGTTTCGGCCGCTTACCAGCTTTATGTCTCCTATCGACGCCTCTTTCGTCATGCGCGGCCTGCGAGGACGACTCGAACGACTCCGTGGAATTGTCAGAACCTATATCTTTGTCCGAATTTATTATCTGTTCGAGTTTACGTTTTCGCGATCGGGTCATTGGCCCGCTACTACTGCTGCCGCTAGCCTCGCTGTCAACATCATGTCGATGTCGATGATGCTTCTTCGTCGGAATCACCTGTTGACAGGATGAGTCGTGGTCAGCGTGGTTGCGTTTGGCCCGCTTCTTCGCGGTCCGCTCCAATTCCTGCAGAAGCGAGTGTCTTATCGAGGAATTCGAGTCGGAAGAAGAAGACATGGAACTCAGGTACTCGTTAACAACTTCGTCGTTAAAGTCGAAGACGCTTGGTGACGAGGTGGAAGTGTTCGCAGCGCTCGCCGTGGCGCTTGGTAGTTGCAGCAACTGAACTGACGACGGACTCGAGGAGGAGGAAGAAGACGGTCTCGACGTCGAGGAACTGGAATTGGAACGTTTGTGCTTGCGACGCTGAGCCAGCTTGGCGGCGTCGACCGCGCGCAATCGGAAACCCTCGCGATCGTGGACTGACGTCGAACTTGTGGCTACCGCGCTGTCCGCGTGAACAGTGTCAGTGACGGGCGTTACCGGGAGAATCGTCGTGTCATGCATTGTCAACCACGGATGGTACACCAGAGAAGCCGCGGTAAGTCTGTTGTTGGGCTCGATCATCAGCAGACCTTTCATCACTTGCTTCGCACCGGGGGACACGTGACTCCAAGCCTCACCATCGAAATTAATCTCACCGGCTTTGATGCGCATCGCCACGTTAGGTGTGTCCGTGCAGAAAGGTGGGTTGTCAGACAACATGCAATACAGAATAGTCCCCAAGGACCACATGTCGCAGCTCTCGTCGTATTCTTGGTTGGCCACAACCTCCGGAGCGGCGTACGGAAGCGTGAAGCAGGGCGTGTGCAGTGGCTCACAGCTCTTCTTCATTCTGGCGAATCCAAAGTCAACTATTTTCACCGACGAATCCTCGCCTTGGTGCACGTACACGATGTTCTCTGGCTTGAGATCACGATGCACCACGCCGCGCGAATGCATATACCGCACCGCGGACGCCAATTGTCGCATCACTCGCTTCGCCTGCCGTTCCGAGAATGGCCGCGGTCGTTGCAACAATTCCCCGCCCGAAAGCAATTCCATCACGATATACGTGTGAAGTCGATCATGGTGGACGTCTATTAGTTTCACCACATTCGCGTGACGCTGGCACGCACGCAACAGACTCTCCTCCCGGCTGCAATCCACTCGCCTGCTGACGATCTTCACGGCGTACTCCTGCTGGGTCTTGCGGTTACGACACCGTCGACAAATCGAGAAGCTGCCATCGCCCAAAGCTGGTCCCGCTTGGTCTAGCTCGTACGTCTGGAAGAACGTGGACTCCTCGAAACACGTGCTGAGCAGGTCGGACAGCAAAGGCCGTTGCGAACTGGTACCTTCCTCGCCACCGAAGATATCTCTGCTCACCACGTTGTCGGTGAACAGTACCGAAGGCGCTACGTACGAATAACCCTGTAAAATCATCCGAGTGAGAAATTTTCAAAATAATTAATAAAACCCGCGATTGTAACGGGATATAATTACATATTTGTCCCGAGATAATAACAAAAAAAAAAAATTAAAGAAGCCTCCCCAGAAATGTTTATGAGGGTAGTCGCCATCAACGACCGCCGGGCTGTCAACGGCAACGTTCATCTTCGTGAATTCGTCTGAAAAATTGCTGGTGTCCAATTCGTGCGAGATTTTGGGAACCAAAGGCGGCTTGATCTGTTTCTTTTCCAGACCCTCCCAAGTGAAGGCCGGTGCCGCGTCCATGAAGAAAGGATGCTCCTTAAGCTCTTTAGCGTCGCGCGGTCCACCGCCCAATCTCTGTCGTGGGTCTTTGACCAGCAAGCGGGTGATGAAGTCGCTCACGTTGGCACTCATGTGGCTCGGCATCGGCGGCGGATCGTTCTTCAATATCCTCCTCGAGATTTCCTGCTGGTTGTTCTTCTCGCCCTCCACCGTAAAAGGCGACGCACCGGTCAGTAATTCAAACGTTAGCACGCCCACACTCCACCAATCGACAGCCTATGAAAATGCCATCTCTATTGTAACAGATACGTTTAAACGAGTATATACGTGACTGTATTACTGTTAATTATGTCCAAAGTACAATCGTATCTTCCCTTTTACATGTTATTATATACTTTTATGTAATTTATATACTTTTATACGTATAATTTTTAAGTATATGTATCTTTTTGCTTTCTGAAAATTTAATTTAATAATTAGTTTGTTGCTTCTTAACAATGAAATATTATATATAATTGTAATGTAATTATACGTATAATAATTCACGTATTATATAAATTGAATTGCATAGTTAGGGAAATATAAAACAGATAGTGAGAAAAGGAACTGCCAAAGCGGATACGGGGATGAAATAACACGCGGGTCGGTAACGCGGAAAGGTAGAAAGGTTTCAACTCACGATATCGTGGCCGTTCGGGCCCGCCTTTACCACTTCCGGTGCCATATACTCGATGGTTCCGCAAAACGAGTAAGTACGCGCGTTACCGTTCCTCTCGTGCGGTAGGAACTCTTTGCTGAGACCGAAATCCGTCAACACGAGGTGCCCTTCCTTGTCCAAGAGTATATTCTCGAGTTTGATGTCCCGATAGATTACGCCAAGCTGTAACATGAAACATCAAACAAAATTTATGTAGATTCGGTTTAAATCTCCGTTCAGTTCATCGCGGACTGTTTTTCCGTCAAGGAAAAATCTCGTTGTTTGTGCGCGCATAACATTATTATATTAATACGTACATCATGAAGGCGCTCTAGCGCCAAGATAATTTCGCCGATATAAAATCGTACTGCGTCCTCCGTGAAGCAGTCGTGCTGATACAGGTGCGTAAACATTTCACCGCCGGCGACGTATTCTGGAAATAGAAATAAATATCTTGCATATTCGAAATTCTATATTCTCTACGTGAGAAAGAAATGGAGCAAGCTGTTCTTCGTCGCGTTATCCAGTAATGTGACACGCGACAGACGAAAATGAAGGGAAAGACATCTCTTATTCTATCCGTAATATAAGTATGAAATTTTACATATATATGGCTATACCAAATATTTTCTTTTATCCATTTATATAATATCTGTTACTTTCTCAAAGGTAAATAATTTTTTTAAGAGTTTTTGTTTATTATTTTGCAAAGGGGAGATATTAACTTCCATCATCTATTCAGTGAAATTTAATTTGGGACACACATACGCGTAGTATTATTATGTTCTTTCTTTTTTATTATTTATCTTTGTTTATCCTTTCTCTCTCACTGATAGACCTGTTTATTTTTTTTTTCTTTTAGTTTCAGTTTCTCGCCGAGTCTCACCCAAGATCAAACAGAGTTTGTCGTCCGTTTGAAACGCATAGTAGAGAGTTATCAGGAACGGACTGTCCCTGATAGCCTCCAGAATTTGCCGCTCAGACTTGGTGTGCTCCGTCGTCTTCTTCTTCTGCACGATGGAGGCCTTTTTCAGCACCTTCATGGCATAGAGCCGTCCAGCGTCAGCACCGGTCCTCTTTCGCACCAGGAAAACCTTGCCGTAAGCTGTGCGAAAACAAAACGATCGACATTAAAAGCGTGACACGCGTCGCAGTTTAGGGAAGTTAATAATAACGGAGATCGAGAAAAATACGGATGCCAACCGATACGGAAAAAACAGTGCGGCCGTAAAAAAAAGTATCCAAAATAAAAAATCGGAAATCAACTTACGTACGCAGTGTAAAGAGAGAGGTTTAAATTTGATGCCTCTGTAACGGTACAAATATTACAGCGCCCGTTACAAATGATCCGAGGGTTATTACCGTTACCGATAGCTTGAGTATTACTTATTTCCGATATTGTAAGTATTATGATCCAGATACGGATACAAATATTGTCAGACATTACTGGGCCACGTTTCGGAAAAGACATTTCGTCGAAGCGCTCTCTCACCTCCGGTGCCAAGGACTTTCAGCAGATCGAAGTGTGTCATGTCCACTTTCTGGCTGCTGTTGTCCGCTAGATTTACTGTAACAGAAAAAAATGACAATTTCATCAGAAAGGTTGGCATCCAATAATATCGATTGCGACACCCGTTATATTCTGGCAATTCGGCAGGATCGTTGCGGATCCCCGCTCGCGTGCTCGCGCACCGTGAAGCGGCTTTTACGAAATTTATGTAAAAGAAAAAGAACCTCTCTCTGAAATCGCGAAAACTCCTGCGCGAGCTATACCCGGTGATCCAGTCGAACGCGTGAGAGAGATCGAGAAAGTAATATCGTTACGAAATGCTGAAAACAGTCGAAATTGCGAGTAAAGCCCGAAATAATTTCGTGTATTTCCGCCTAATGACGTTTGCTTAACCCTCGGTGGTCACGATTCTTTTTTTTTTATATTTTTTAAAGAAGTTTTTTTAACACTACGCCACTCAAAAAGTTAATTCTTTATAATGAGAATACGTTCTACAATGTTTAAACTTATAATTCTGGAACTTTTTGCGATCCATATAAACTGTTCGTTTTTAAACAGCATGCAGCTGTTTGAAAATTGGTTGGGGTCACTTTGACCTCGTGTGACTACCGAGGGTTACAAAAACGGGAGCACACACCGTGAAAAAGACTCTTTCAATAAAATAAACTCTCAATTTGAGCTTCGCCGAGTGAGTCTAACGGCCGAACTGGAGTATACGCTAATTAATAATTTCTTCATTCCTAACGGTCACATTCTCTCCCCAACGCGCAACGTTCGCGTTCCTCGGCGACGTGCGGGTTGTCGCGCGGTGCGCGGGTTCCCAGACGCCGAGGGGGGCGAAGGAAGGGAGAGATTGCGGACGTTGTGACGCGCGCGAGGCTGACAAGGCTTCTCTCGCGAGACAATGAGGTTGCTCCTGGCATTCATTTTTCTCTCGACGCCGCCGCGTACGACGGGAGAGAAAGAAGGAGGAGGAGAGGAGAGATAGAGGAGAGAGAGAAAAACGTTTCTCGGCGCGTTCGTCGCGTGGACGACGGGGAGCGCGGAATGGAATGCCGCTTATTCGACGTGTGACACGCGAAGGTACGAACACCTGCGAACACGCGGCTAATATATCGGCAGGTGCGACGACGCCGCGAATACACACGTGAGCGATTCGCCGCCCGTTGCGCCTCGTCTCGCCTCGCCTCGCCTCGCTCAAGCGTGGTTTATCGCGGTAGTTCGCACAACAAGAAACACATGTCGCTTGTAATTGAAGCAATGAACTAATAGTCTAATGCACCTAAAACGAAGGGAAAACAAATATTCGTATGAAAATTACGAGAATATAGGTACGTGGCGTTAAGCGCCGCGCTGGTCGCGCGAGTTTTCAAGCCGCGGTGCCTTTTCATATGCAGCATGCCGTAGCAGCAAATCAGTTACGTGACCAAAATTTAATAATAATAAATATATTGTGTATCTCACTCAATACCATTTTTTTTTCTTGTTATGACGGAGCTATGTGTCCCGACAGGAATGTTTTTTTTTATTAGAAATAATTATGATGACTACTTATTGTGACTGGAATCAACAGAGTACGTGTTCTCTTTCAGCTGTGCTGGTTAGCTGTTGGTTCAGTTGAACTTCACGGCGCCGAAGCCGGCCACCAAGGCTGAACTTTTCAACCAGTAGCAGCGAACTACTGCGGCAGAATGCCGTGCATGAAATGGTATAAGTACCTTTAGACATTCATATATTCCGAGGCAGCGGCGTCGCGATTACTTACGTTTCAGTTACCGCGTTACATAATTCGCGAAACAACTGTATCTACTCCGGCGAACGATAAGAAGCCAGACCGGTAACGATAATGACCAGTAAATAATGCATAATAACGATTTTATCGTTATTTCTTTCTTTCGTTGTCCGCCATTTACTGTCAATCGGCATCGCCAAGAGGAAACACGCTCGTTTCGGTTTTGATTCCCCGCGAGAAAAACAAACGCCGCTCGTAATCGGAGAGGAACTGTGAATAATTGACGAGGTAAAAATATAAATGAGAGTAAAATTCCGCGGCGCACACGATCGAGATATTATAGTCTCACTCGTGATATGGAATCTACTTCGACTCGGTTAACGTCCATTTCTACCAATGTAGATTACCTTTAATCTCGTTTAACTTACTTTTTATCTTTTTTTCACTCTAAGAACTAGAAAAAAATAAGAAGTAAGTTAAACCAAGATTAAAATCAACATTGGTAGAAATGGATATACATATGTTCGCGTTTAAGTAATATATACTTGCAAAGGATACGTTTAAGATTTATACGTCATATCGCGGGTAACGAGCACATCATGTGGGGAAAATTTCAAGGGGACAGATGGGATTCGCGCCCGATTCCGGGGGGTGGCCACCCAGAACGCGAGTCTTTATCGTCGAGACCACCTTTAAACCGATTCAAGCAGGCTTGAGCGTTGAAGCTGCACGTGAATTAAATTGTACGTCGTAAGTCGGAGCGACTTACAAAGCGACTCTGCAAAGCAGACATCCGTGCGGAGTGTCCCAGAACTGCAGCTTTCTTTCTGCCAGCCACGACGAGCAGCATCGACCTGATCGTCGACCTAATCGCGATCTCTTACCCCAATTTCGAGCCACTTGCATAAATGACTATCATCTACCGAGTAATGTCGCTTTACGTTGATGGATTTTGCCCCGTATCATTTGTATACACGTGTATCTTTGTTATACTTTTGTCTGTCCTTCGCTTATCTTTCCTTATCTTTTATTATCTACCTCTTTATTGCGAAGTAATTAAGTGGGTCACAAAGTTCACGGACAATCGGAATCGAGAGAGAAAAAGAGAGAGGGGGATTTATGCAATATCTTCCGTGCTTATAATTTTATCTCTTGACTATTAAATTCGTAGTCAGTTTAAGTAAATTTTAAACCATTCCTAGGTCGCCATTGCACCTGCTCAAAATAATGTCATTAATTTAATTGAAACAATGTTAATTTAACTAAATCAATGGAGTTAAAATAATACTGTTTTCCATTAAAATAATAAATTTCGACATACATGGTAGTTTAAATTAACAAAATGTTATTTAACTCAAGATATTAAATTTTATACTTCAATATTTAACAGTGTTTCCGCGAAACTATGTTATTCATGTCGAAAATAATGAAAAATACGCGATAAGATTCTCGACGTTCAGGTAATGAAATCTTAAGAGAACGGTCCCGTGACTATATATTAGGAAAGGATGACTAATAAGGTTACCCCTCCATCGAACTCATTTCGTTGACTCATTCGACGGTAATGCAAAAAATGGGAATTTCAAGATTGTGGCTACGGCAGCAAGTGGGTCACGATTCTGTTACGGAAATTATAAACGGCGTTGCCACTTTCACTTTTGCATCTTCGCGTCTCTATATCCTTTCGCGGATTTTTTTTCTTTTTTTTTTTTACGCCAAGAGAGAAATTCATTTCTCGGTAGGGAAACGGCGAGCGAAGCCGGAAGATCCAACGGCTAAATCGGTGCGAGGAAATCATCGCTGGAGGGTTAATGCGATCTCACCGAGACCGTGCAGAAATCTCCGATACTCGTTAAAACCTGGGTGTACAAATCTCTTGCACCATTCAGATAGTTCAGGACTAATCCTCCGTAGAAGTTCTCACGTTAAATAATTTATTCTTTTATATAATGGTTTGACCATCTACACAGTAAAAAATTTAATGTCCCAGAAAGTTTACTCTAAATTTTGTGTTAAAATAACTCATGCATTGTGTTATTTTTTACATATAGAAATGTTATTTTAGTCGATATAACATTTCTAAATGTAAAAAATAACACAATGCATGAGTTATTTTAACACAAAATTTAAAGTGGACTTTCTGGGACATTAAATTTTTTACAGTGTAATTAAGTCATCTCTAAAAATCCTCGTCGTAACAAGAGCATAAGACACGTGTAGCCTAACGAATCGCATAATTCATCAAGATTTAATTAGTATCTCAATGCCGCCTTGCGTTTCGGAATCGCCTCAAACTGTTTTTGAATTGTTAAATACTTGAGAATGTTCTTTTTCAAACGTAGCAGAGTAAATTATCATCAAATATTCCTAATCTATAAACAAATCGGAGTATCTATGAGTAACTAGGTCGCAACTAGGTGAGCCAACATTTTCTCGAGAACAAAATGGATCTGAAGAATATTCCACGATTGCGTAATCGCGGCACGAGAATCGAGAACAGGTGACTAGGCGGTGAAAGCACACGGCTACACAGCGGACGTGGTTCGCGGAGAGGTTCGCGAGGCTCGGGTGAGGCCCGGGCGTCATTCCGGGCGTCCCCGGCCCTGACTGCCAGAGCCCGAGAGAGAATGCATGTCAAGGTAGCGTAGGAGATTCGCACCAGCGCGGCGTACGCATGTACCTACGTACGTATATACGTACCTCGCGATTATCGCGAGCTCGCGGATTCGCGCACGCGACTAGCGCAAACTAGCGCAAACCCTCCGCGCAAGGAGAATCACGGACGTGGAATGACCCACTTTGCCGGAGGTGCGAGTCAAGTTCGCAGGGGACCTCCTCGCGTGCTCCCGAGGACGGTGCATCTCGTCGAGAGACGACTCCCGATTCCCGATTCCCCTTTAGCTCCGATCTCCGATTCGGCGACGGCGGCCTCCTTCGAGCCGGCTGCTTGCCGACTCGAGACGAGGCGAGTTTCGCCTCTCCGTTACCTCGGAACGGCATTCCAGCCCCTCTCGCTCGCGTGAATAATGAGTTCCCTTTTTCTGACGCCCGACTGCACCGAGGGAAAAACAATCGGAGAAGGATGTGTACCGTAATCTCGCGGTGCCGGGGATGCCAATTTGCGAAATTGGCCTCGGTGCAAGAAGCACCTCGGCAGATTTTCGTATCCGTCTCTCTCTTCCTCTGAAGTACACACCGTGTCTTTTTCTCCTCGCTTTATAATGCATTAGATTAAGCGAAATGAAAGAATTTTAACGACGATCCCTCTCCTTCTCCCTCCTCCTTCACCGTAGTCGATTCCCGTTACCTTGTGACTGAGAAAGCG